AAAAAAATTGGAAACTCTTTTTCCCCAGAACAGCCCAGATAGTACTGAAGTAATTAACTTTTATCAAAATGATGTGTTTTTAAGAATTTTGCCAGGAAAAATAGATATTTTTAGTGCTGAGAAAAATCAACATGTTCAAGAAAAAATAACATTGCATCTAAAAAAGACTATCCTAATTTCAAGGTCAGTTTGTCAAAGTTTTGTACTTTGGAACATAAGTGGTGCATTACAACTAATGCATCAGGTACGTACAATGCATCAGGTACGTACAATGTATGTGTATACATACATCACAAAAATGCAAAAATTTCTAATTGATGCAATTTGGTGGAATAAAAGCTATAAAGATTTTATGAGTTTAAGTGTTTGTTCTCTTGAAAGCGCAGAATGTATGCTGCATCAATGTAAGCTATGTCCTGGTATTCAAAAATTAAAAAAAAGAAGAAGATATGAACGACACTACTGTTACAATCATTGCCACTACATGAGTTGAATTATTTCTTATGTAACAGCATTGACACCTTACCACACATTCATTTATAGTAAAAACACAAAAAAAAGATTCTTGATTAGCTGTAAAGAAAATGTAAACCAAAATGTTTAATTTCAAGAGATTTTACTGAAAATTATCAATTAATTTTCCAGGATGAAGTTCAAAGTTATCATTGGAGCAAAAATCGGTGTTCACTTTTTATATTTGTAATTTATTTTCAAAAAAATACATTTCTCAAACAAAAATCTTTTTGTTATCTTTCAGAAGATATTAATCATGTCACAGAGTTTGTTTATAAGACTTAATCAGATATTACTAAGTATATCAAAGAAAATCTATCAGTTGTATCATGTTTAAAGTATGTTTTTACTGGCTGTGAATTCCTGTTGTGAATGGCTGCACAATTTTAAAACTTGATTAATCTTTGTCATCAATTAATTGCTGAATGAGTATTTTTTGCTACCAGCCATGGTAAAACCTGCCATGATGGTATTGGTGTGACTGTTAAAAGAGTAATTTGTTAAGAAAGTCTAAAACAAGAAACTAATGGGCAGATTTTAGGTGTTTATTTAGTTTACTCTTTTTAAAAGCCAAAAATGCATTTGCAGTTATTTTCAAAGGAGATTAACCAAACTTGAGCAAATTTAGAAAAAAAAATATTTAGATGGTAGAACTGTTCTTGGCACAAGAATGTATCATCGTTTTGTTCCTATAAGTTTAAATACATTAAGTAATAAAAAAGTGTGGATACACATTTTAAAGTATTTGATATTTTTCAAAAAAACAAAAATAATAATTAATTTTGATTTAATATATAAAAAAAATGGAGTATATTGAATGTTTTTATGATATTAATTTTGGTGGATAGTTTGGTGAAGTTGTTTTGATATTATATTTGATTTTGATATTGATAGTTTTTATAATATTAATTTTGGTGGATAGATTGGTGAAGTTGTAAATAAACTTGGTATCAAAGTCAGATTTATGTTGATCATAATGGTGTTTGTATATATATATATATAAAATATATTATGAATTTTTAATCAAAAAAATATACTTTTAGGTGTATAAATATTTATGCAGTCCTAGTAAGAAACCTGGCCCCAGCTATATTTTATTAAACCTGGCTCTGGCCCCATTCAAATATCAACCCTAGTTGCTTACTAGTGATACGTTCAACGAGTCTGATATAGATTTAAAGAATGTAAAGAGTTAAAAGAGTCAAAAATATAAAAATATAAACATTTTAAATGTTGTTGTAGTTTATTTACATGCTTTTATTAACTTATTTATTTTTTTCTTTGAAAAATTCCTGGTGGGAAAATTTGCTTCTCTTCTTGCCCCCCTTTGTATGCCCAAAACTAAGTATGTGCCAAACTTATTAATAAGTAATGCTGTATAGAAGTTTTAATTAAATAAATTGTTTTAAAAAACATTTTAATTCCATTGTTACATTGTTACAAAATTTAAGTTTTTCAAAAATATAAAAAGACATTATTTTTGTCCTTACTTAAATGAAATATTACAGAGACAATTTAATTTTTTTAGTTGACCTAAGATAAAGTAATAATATAAAATCTTTTTTTCGGGTTGAAAGTCTCTATTTTAGTTCTAAAAATTCTGAATTTCGTATGACAGCCTCCATTTTATTTCTAAAATTCAATAATTTAAAAGTCAAAAATTATGGAAAAATTGGATAAAGAAGGATAGTCTTGTCTAAAGATAATTCTTTAAACTATCAAGTTCTAAGAAAAGTTTTTTTGGATTTTTTGAGCAAAAATTTATTTGGACTCCAAATTTAAAATTAGTAAGAAATTTTATGTCAAAAATGTTGTTTTTATACACGCTATATGCGCTATATATTACACACTATTACTGTGTCTTCAGATAACAAAAATGCTGAATCAGCATCATTTCAATTTTTGATACAATTGGCGACAAATTTTTTTTGTTTGTTTGATGTTTCTTAATGAATGATTCTTAAGTGTTCAAAGTTTTCAATTATAGAAAATACAGCACTTCAAGAGGAGCTGATAATTTTTTTTTAATTAGATTTATTGCTTGCAAAAGTTATAATGATTTTTTTTTAATTGATATTAACTAATGTTTTTGAAATTTATATGAAATATATGACAAATGCTTAATATTTATCGGAAAAACAGTATATTAATATTAACAGTTTATAAAACAGTATATTAGCGTGTATAAAAGCATTAAGTGTAAATGTTGGTTTTAAATCAAATGCTTAGTTAAAGAAAAAAGTTCAAAATATTTAGCTAGTGAAAAAAAAAAATCAAAATTCTTAATAAATATAAAAACTTACAAAGCTTACATCAAAAGAAAAAAAAGATGTCTGTAATGGCATACAGGTCATATTTCCATAAAAATTGGTTTTGGTGAAAAAGTGTTTAGACCCACATAACTATCTGACTTTACATTTGTTTTAGTGAAAATACGTTCCTTGTGTACAAATATTGTTTTTATAATCAACAAAAATTGATTTTGGGATGTGCTGTTGTAGTTTTATTCCCTTCATATATTTAAGATTGTGATTTTAATATTAACTTCGCAGAAAGGAAATTTCCATGCTTTTTATATCCATTTTATATCCAAGTTTAATTTAATTACTTACTAATTTTATCTTTTGAACAAGGCAGACACAGCTTGTTTTAACAAAAATGATGACTTCTTCCTATGATGGCATACTTACGAGTTGGGTGTGTTCCAAAAACCTTTGCAACACACTTGGTATATATATATATATATATATATATATATATATATATATATATATATATATATATATATATATATATATATATATATATATATATATATATATATATATATATATATATATATATATATATATATATATATATATATATTAAAGTACATCAAATGCCCCATACTTTCCATAAATTGATCTATCCCTATTTTTATAACTTTCTATTAGTTTTCACAAGACACTCAGTTAAATTTTTTCAAAATTGAATAGGATTTAGGGGGCCACCTCAAGTCTAAAAACTTGCAACAAGACCCTAAACAGAAAAAAAAAAGTTTTTCAAATGTATGTCATGTTGGGTCACAAAAGAAGCGAAACTTTATAAAAATTTTAAAAATAATTATCATTTTTATGTTAAAATTACCTTAAAAAAAGATTTTTACAAAAAACTATAAAAAAAACATTTTTTTTTTAATTTTTTGTTAAAAAATAATAATTTTTATGTAAAAAAACTTAAAATACTAACTTTTGTGTAAAATTTTGATTATTTTTGAAATTTTCGCTTTTTTTGAGACCCAACATGGCATCATTTGAAAAACTTTTTTTTCTTCTGTTTAAGGTCTCATTGCATATATATATATATATATATATATATATATATATATATATATATATATATATATATATATATATATATATATATATATATATATATATATATATATATATATATATATATATATATATATATATATATATATATATATATATATATATATATATATATATATGTATATATATATATATGTATATACATAATATATACATGTATATATATATGTATATATATATATGTGTATACATATATACATATATACATATATACATATATATATATATATATATATATATATATATATATATATATATATATATATATATATATATATATATATATATATATATATATGTATATATATATATATATATATATATATATATATATATATATATATATATATATATATATATATACTCTTGCATGTCTCTTGCGTGGCATCAAAAAAATTTTCCCATAAACTGTAGTTTTAAAGAGCGCGTTAATAAACCAGACCAGAAAAAGTTTTAAAAATTTAAAAATTAAATTTTTTTTTTTAATTGATAGACTGCCTGGCCAAACCAAACCCTCAGTCGATGTAGCAGCACTCTCTTGCGAGTCAGGGTATTTGTCAGTCGTTGTAGCAGCACTCCTTTGCGAGTCAGGCTATTTGTCAGTCGATGTAGCAGCATTCCCTTGCGAGTCAGGCTATTTGTCAGTCGATGTAGCAGCACTCCGTTGCGAGTCAGGCTATTTGTCAGTCGATGTAGCAGCACTCCGTTGCGAGTCAGGCTATAAGATAGTTGATGTAGCAACATTTACGCATGTTTTAAAAATGTTTTTTATTAAATCAATAACAAAAACACCACTAATTAAAAAAAACTTTCTAGTCGTTATAATTGCGGTTTTTTAAAAAATTTTTAAAAAACAATTAAATTTAATGTACTTCCGCATAAATTAATTGCTTTGACATTTCGATGACAATCAAAAACAGCTTAAGAGACGAGGTAATTAAAATTGTAGTCGTAAGAGACTTTTTTTACATTAAAATGCTCTTTCGACTACACTATAAGGGTATATATATATATATATATATATATATATATATATATATATATATATATATATATATATATATAATTTTAAAATTATAAATTGCTGTTTTTTTAAATTTAATCTTTTAGAAATAAATGCTGCAAATATTAATGTGTCATATGAGGAATTGAGTTCAGAAATTATTGATGAGGTTGCTTATCAAATTGGTAGTGAATGGCGTAGATTTGGACGTCATCTTAATTTGAAAGACGTTGATTTAGAACATATTGATGTTGATTATAAAAAAACTCATGACAAAGCTCTTCAGCTTTTAAAACTTTGGAAGCAGAAGTCAAAAGAAGGTTGTCTTACTTGGTCCCAATTAAAAAAACAACTTGAGCTGTTTGAGCGTTTTGACATAATAAGAGAATTAAAAAAAAAATTTAAACAACTGAGAGGTAGGTGTAAACATTCTTGTTCATTCATTGATATTTATATTGAACATATTTATATAGATATTTGTATAGTTAAATCTGAAATTTCAGGCTTGCTATTATTTAAAATTTTATATCCTTATAAACACATTACAGTGTGCTTGTGGGTCATTTCACATGTAATTATCCAATAAAAAACTTTTTGTCACCCACATGTCTCAGTACTGTTTTATTTTAACATCAATGCACTCTATATTAAATAATTGATAATTGCAAAAATTTTTGCTAAAAATATACATAGGTTGTTGAAACATCATCAATAGTGATGATTCAGCATTTTTATGGTTATCTGTAAAGACAACAAATTAAGTTTGACATATAATATCTTGATAATGGTTTGGAAGAATTTCATAAAATTTGGGACCCAAACTCCAAACAGATATTTGCTGGAGAAATTCAAAAATACAACTCTAAGGACTTATCCAATTTTATTCAAAATTATTTACTTATAAATTATTGATTTTTAGAGCTAAAATAGAAAAAAAAAACAACATCTTTTCAAAATTTTGTGTAACTTAAATTTTGTAGCAAAGGAAATATTTATTGTTATTTAAATTTTTTTGAAACTATTTTTTAAATTAAAATTTATAAATTAGTTTAATTACTAGTTTAAAATATATTTAATTAAAATATATATATATGTGCATGGGCACACAAAAGAGGAAAAGGCAACTTCTCCCTCAACTCTCTCCAGATTTGGATAAAAAAAGAAAAGAAAAGCAATTACTAAGTTACAATTAATATGTAAATAAAATTGCTACAACATTTTAAACAACTCTTTGTTTATTTATTAAATCTAAATGAGATATGTTGTATGTACAACCTGATATTTTTGTGGGTGTGGAAATTATACAAATAACTCTGGAGTTAAGCACTTATCATTTCTCATTGGCTTAAAGAGATTTTAACTATTCCATGTGGATGCAAGAAAGATACAATTAAAAAATACTTAGCTAAAAAAAGGAAAAAACTCTTGACAGAAAAAAAACTCCAAAATAAAATATCTGAATGAAAATAAATTACATTTAAAATTAATTTCTAAGTTTCGCTCTTTTATGATTTTTTATAAAAAAAAAAGAGACAACCTTTTATATTAAGTAACAAACTTACTAATAATGATCATTTAATAAGAACTTTTTTCATTTTATCAAAAAGTAAATAATTTATTTTATTGATGTTTTATTTCAACTGAATAAAATAATGTTAATGGTAGTTAATAAAACTAATGTAGTTATTTAATAATTAAAAAAAAGATTTTTTTTTATATTCACTTCATGCTTTTTGTAGTTTGCAAAGTTTAAAATATTTGAAAACATTTTTCATAGTAAGATGAACAAAAGAATTAAATCATTAAGATATTACTATAATACAATAGAAAAATAACTTTTTAACTTAATATTTAAAATGTTAAAATGTTAAAATATTTTTGTTAAAATGTTAAAACCTTTTTTTAATGTTTTAAAGTTTTTAAAACATTAGCCTTTTTCTTAATTTTCTTCCTGAATTAGTGTTCTACAATGATCACAAGCTGCAAGTATACATTAAATAACTTAATAAGGCTCATTATACTATAATATATATTTTAAATTGATAATAAAAAACAAAACAATTGATATCACAGTTGGTCAAAGTGTGGCAAAATTTCAAAAAAAATAGTGTTTAATAGGTTTAATGGTAATTGTTGTTTTCCATACTTATAAAGCTTTAATAAAATGATATTTGTCATTAGCTTTTAAATTAAAGTTTATACAACCTTTTGAAAATGAATTTTCTTTTCCGATTTGTAACTTTTAAAACAAAAATTAGTTAAAAGCATAAGTTGCTACATATAAATTAAAAATTGTTTTATGAATTAAAACTATATGCACTATTATTTTTTTATATATCGATTTATCTTTTTTTAAACAAAACTTTGCTGCAAGTTATTTGCTTGTAAGCAAAAATTTTATGTAACTTTAAAGTTGATGTGTTTTTGTATGTTTTTTGAGTGTAGATTTTTACTTTCTTTAGTTGATTAAAAAACCTAAAAGTTTAGCTCCCCCTGCCCCAAATGTGAGAGCCAAGGTTGCTTTGTTGTCTCCTAACCGTAAAAATGCTGAATCAGCATTGTTTCAACTGAAAATATCTCAAGAAAACAATATTCAGCTAACATTTTTGCAGTTATTATTTATTTAATGATAATAATTTTGAGGCCTAAGTATAGCATGGCTTGGATGATTTTATATGGAATGACCCTTGTTGCAGTTTAGAACCTAAATATATTTATTTTTTATATATGAATATATAGATTTAACCTAGCTCCTTATAATTTAAAATTGTTTTGCATCCCTATTATTTGTTTGTATTCATGAACATATATATTTACTTACCATTTGTTTTAACTCTTATATTCTTATATTTTTTTATTTTTCTTAGTTATAGTCTTAATAGTTTTGAATCATGTTCATTACCTCATATAATCATGTTCATTACCTCATACAATCATGTTTATTACCTCATATAATAATGTTTATTACCTCATATAATCATGTTTATTACTTCATATAATCATGTTTATTACCTCACATAATCATGTTTATTACCTCATATAATCATGTTCATTACCTCATATAATGGGTTTATTGTTTGGTTTAATGGGTTTGTATATCTGATGTATATCTTGGCTGAAACTAAACATCTATATATAGTTCCTCCTTTCTATTTTAAATACCTTTTTTTTTTAATTCATTTTTGCGTTTTATTAAACTTTGTTTATTAAAACTTTTTGTAATGTTGTTAATGAATTTTTCAAAATCATTTATGCGCATGTTTCTTTGATTTTATAAACTTTGTAGGTTTTAAATATTTTAGCTTTAATTATTTTAAATATTTTAAATATTTTTATTTTATTTATTTAGGGGGCAGCCAATATGGATGCCCCCTTTAATGCTCATTTTCAATCGTAGCTTTTCTCAACTTAAGTTTCCATCTGCATAGAAAAAAGCTCATGTGGTTTCAATTAAAAAGAAAAACGGTGAGTATCGCCTTACTTGCAGCGCTGAAAAGATCTTAGAGAAGATTGCAATCAAACAGTAGTTAATACCTTCCCTTCAGAAAAAATTTAATCCGTCTAAATTCGCTTTCATTCTGGGAACTTATAAAGGCACAACTAATGCTCTTACAATGATGGTTCTTTGGACTTTAAACAAACTCATATCTTCAGGTGGTTATGTTCGATGTATTAGTATCAATTTTAAAAAAAGCATTTGATAAAATCTCTTATCTTGTTGTCCTTCTTACAGCTAAAAATGATTTCAATTTACCGGACTCTGTTACAACTTCAATCCTATTTTGGTCATCAATCTCAAAAAGTCTTTGTTTCTGCTGTCTCTCGAGACTCCATCCCTTCGACCAATATACCAAATGGAGTTCCTCAGGGGTCAGTTCTAGGTCCATTTCTTTTTGCTATGGTAGTTAACGGAATGTCGGTACTTGATAATTCAAGAAGTCTATTAAATTTGTATGTGGACGACACCACGCTATTACATTATGTTGGCCGTAATAACATCGATAACACACAGGAAGAAGTAAATCATTTGCTAAGTTAATAACTACGTGCAAAAATGCATGTCAATAATAAAAATACTCAATTGATCAATTCTTCCTTAGAGGGTGACAAAGGGTTGCCAATAACTGTCTCTGGCAGTAAGTTAGAAACTCAGTCCACTATTAAACTTCTTGGGGTGACTTTACAAAATGACCTTAAATAGGACTCTCACTTCAAAATTGTTCATCAGAAATGTTGCGTCGGAATGTCGGCTATCCATCGCCTGGTATCATATGGTATTTCTAATGATTTAACATGGAAAACATATTTTGCATTAGTTTTTTTCGCATATGGCTTTCGCTTGGCCTGCGTTCTGTGATATCTCTCGCACTCAACTTATGAAACTGTCTACTAAAGAAAAAAACGCTTCTGTTTTATGCAACAAACGCTCATGCTCCAATCAACCTGCAAAACGTCTTAAAGGCATTTGCTTCAGATTAATAAAAAAAGTTGCCACATTGTCTGATCATCCTCTTAGATCGTTATTTTCAGTCAGAACTATTGTTAAAAATTTTAGGAACTTGCGTAAGCTGCAAATTTTGCACCCAAAGTCGATACGGCTAAGAAATCTTTCTCGGGTTTTTGTAAGAACTCATAAATACCTAGATATTGTATTTATTTATAATAGAAATAATAATAATAATAAATTTGAAACTGTAAGTTTTAGTTGCTACCTCTAAATTTCTCTTCAAAATAATTCTTTATAAAATATATAACATTTTTGAATTATTTTTAAATTATTTTTGAAATATTGTTAAACTAATTTTTTTTTTTTTTTTTTTATAAAAATCAATATTCTTTGTCAAAAGACGATGAACAAGTTGCGATTGCACCTAATGATGTTATAGGTAATACAAAAATTTAAAATTTTTCTGAATTGTTTTTTTTATTATATTATAATTTTTTTTTAAAGTAATCAATTTTTTAATTTTTTAAAGAAATCTAATCTTTTAAAGAAATCTATTTTTTAATCGTGTTTTAATTTTGTAAATTGATTTAAAATTTCTTTTTAATTTAACTTTAATATGGGTGTCAAATTATTGCTGAGAAATTCTTTAAAAAACTGTTCAAACAGAGTATTTTATGGAATTAATACTAGTAATACCTTAGAAACATCCTAGTACTTCATCAACATCTTATACTTTTGTTTTATATTTATTTTACAACTTATTTACATTTAACAAATTTAAATGTAAATAAGTTAAACAAGAGGTTGTTTTTTTTTTTTTTTTTAAACACAATATGTTTTCAGAACTTTAAGATTTTTTAAAAATGAAAAGAAAATTCTATGGAATATTTTATAACTTACTTTTTAAATTATTTGTTAAGAAAATCAGAACTTTTGTTAATTGACAATGTATTACCAAAGGTAGAGGTCAATATTCAATACAAAAAGCAATTTAAAGACATTTTATTTCTATTTTATTTTTTATTTCTTTCTTTGAAATAATTTTATAATTATGATTTAAACCTCTCTAATATTTTTTTTATTAATCTTTGTCTTATTTTGGAAAGATTTGAAAGTAAAAAGAAACACTCTAGAAAACTTAATTCATTAACACTGTATTCTTTCATTTTTTCTTTAGATAATTTAAATATGGTGGAGTTTATTAGTGATATTGATAACTTTAAGTTAAAACCAATAAAAGTGTTAGGGAGTTGTGCATTTGGGAAGGTTTGATTTTTTTTATCACTTGCAAGTGTTTTAAGTTTACTTTAATGTTTTATTTAATTTATAATTCTTTCTAAAATATTAATGTTTTAAAAGTTATTTTGATTGATTAATACTGTTAAATATTAATTTGATTAGTTTGAATTAATTAGTACTTTTATTTCAAAAGAAGCAATGTTTTATGATATTTTTTTATATATAAATATATGTAACCCGCTCTCGCTATAGGGAAGTGCGGCCTTGGTTGTCACACTTTTTACGTTTTAGATTTCTTATATTTTATTTTTCATTATTCAAAGCCAAACTATGCACAAAGGTTTAACTATTTTCAGTTACTAATACAACAGTTTCATGACATTAAAATAAATTTATCTTATTGCAAAATCATTTTTCAAAGTCTACTGCTGTGTGACAATCAACTCCAACCACAGGGTTGGTTGTCACAGAGTGTTGGGTTGGTTGTCACATTTCTTGGTATGTTTAGATTATAACCAGTTAATGCAAATTTACAATATTGTGTTAAAGTAGTTCTAAGACTAAAGTTTTTCAGATTATTCTAAAAACCTTTTTTTCACCTTCCTAAGGCCAAGGGCACTATATAGCCAAGGAGGCTACTAATTGTGGTTACAACCCTCTCTCAACACTTCAACTCCCAAACACAAGTCTTAACTTGTTGCTGCACAGAGAAAAAAGTTGAGCGTGGTACTACCAGGGGCGTGTAAGAGTTTTAACCTTTGAATAATCTTAATATACATAAAGAAAATGTACAAAACAACTTATAATATAATAAGTGTTTTTAAAAATGGTGTTTCGATGTTGTAAGAAAAACAGATTTCAAAAATAAACTGCAGTTTGCCTAGTATGCATTCTTCATGAGCCCATTTTTTGCAAAGTTGAAATCCACTGTTCTCTTGATCTGAATGATTTAAGACAGTAGATACATAAATATTCTTGGTCTTTAAATAAGTTTAAAACACTTTTTTTAGCATAACTTTACTTTTACAGTTTTTTTTTTACTTGCATTCACATCTATTATAGGATTTTTAGTCTTACTAGTTTGCTTGCTTTTATCATTAGTAAGCCATGCTTTGATGCCATGCTTTGAAGCCATGCTTCATTAAATCCATTAGAATTATAAAGACTTTTTTCTTACTTTTTTTGATACTAACCTTTGACCTGCTTAATGAAAAGGTCTAATATTTTCAGGTGGTATGACTGAATTTTTAAAAACTAATGGAGTGATTGGGTCATGATTAGAGATTTTATTTGATACAACTGGATATTTCATACATCTGTCTAGCTGGTTAGCCAGTATGTGAATAATTTCTTTAAACCTTTTTATTTTGTGTTTAAGTTAAACTGAATAAGGTTGGTAGTTTTCTTTATTTGAATCAGCATGTGAAGAAGATGGATTTAGGCGATCAGTTACATAATTAGGACAATAATCAACACCTGTAAAAATATCAGGATTTAATGGTTAAATACCCATTGCAGCAAAACCACTCAGAGAATTCTTGGGAGTTACACCCTGTTACACCCGGAGTTACACCCTGTTCTACAGCTTGTGATGTACTTTTGAACGACATTATATAGCACAAACCAGGAATTTGAATGTGGTTTGAAAAAATAACCCACGCAGTCGATGCAAGAGTGGCAACCATCTCTGTATAATTTGTGACAAACAACCCCTTCTATGTTAGTGGAAAGACACCTGTAAATTTACCCAAAAGCATGTAAAAGCATAAGAAATTTTTATAGATTGTGTTTCTCAAATGAATAAAAAACTTTATTAATGTACATTCAAAACACAATAAAATGAATTCCTTTTAAAAAATGAAAAATTCCAAGTATGTGAAATTCAAATTTTACATATCAAAAACACATATAAACAATTAACTTTTTTTCTACGCACTAAAAAATATGGAAGTAACAGTGAAAATGTCTTTTTTTTTAACAAGGTTTCTGTTGCACGATTTAAAAAAATTTTTAAATCATGCAATAGAAATTTAATTTTTAAAGTTAACTTTTAGCATAAAATACTTATAATGTTAGCATAATATACTAATATTATAAGTATTTTAAATACACGTTTTGACAATAACATCCTCAGTTAACTGATACAAAATAATTTAATTAGAGACCATATAATTGATTAATAATACAATAAAAAAGCAATTAAAAATTGTAACAAGTGTCATAAAATTACAAAAAAAGAAAAAAAAATATACGCAGCATTTTTACATAGTTAACTTGTTTATTAATGGTGGGATTTTTCCACTCTAATACCTTCTTTGAGTTTTAAAACAAATTTAAGGTAGAGAATAAAAAACTTTGGATTGGATTCTGTCATAATTAAATCTATCAAAACTACTTTCGTTTGAGTCATTATTAAATCTATCAAAACAACTTTCATTTGATGCTTGTAATGTTTTTTTTCTCAAAAGTAAAGGTTTTTTAAAATTAAAATCTATAAAATTTTAATTTGTTTTTAAATCATTTTGTCAACATCAAAAAATGTTACCAATAAGTTTATTAAAAAATGAATTTTATTATACTTTAAGTAAAGTTTAAAATTTAATATAATATTTAATATTCATAATTCAATTTTTTAGTAGTGTAGTTTTGCTAGTCCTGCTCTCAGTGAGAAAAAAGCATAGAACAAAAACTTGCAGGGTGTTTTGAGAATGCTGTTAAAAGTGGAAAAAGTAGTTTAACAAATTTCTACAAAAAAATGCCAGTACTGCAAATAGTTACAAATAGGTTCAAAACACTAGCAAATGAAACAAAAAGTAAAAGTGAAGGAGTGAAATTTCTAAACTTTCTGAGTTATAGAAAAAGTTTTCTAAATCAACAATAATATTTAAAATAGAAAAAGGTAATTTAAAGAATTTAAAAAAATATAATGATGATGTAAACTTTATTAAGCTGTTTGATATCACATTTAAAAATTTGCTTTGCAATAAAGACCAGTAAATAAGAGTAAGTAAGTATGAATAAGATGAGTCTTGAGAAAGTTTATCCAGCAAGATCAGTTAGCTGGATTAAGATCAGCTGGATCCAGCAAGGATTAGCTGGATTAAGAAACGTGTCTTATTGCATCAACAAGAACAACATCAACTGTGCATCAACAGCAGCTGAAACCAAAGAAACAAAATAAAGACCAGATAATAATAATCACGGTGTAATCAAAATAATCAGGATGTTGCACTTTCAGAAAGTGACAATGAGCCAAAAAGAAAATGTCATAAAACAAATGTTGCTATTGACTATTGCAGTGTAATATATAATTTCAAACATGTTACAGTTTCTGTTTAAACAGTGTAATATATATCACATGTTATAGTTTCTGTTGTAAACAGTGTAATATATATCACATGTTACAGTTTCCGTTATAAACAGTGTAATATCACATGTTACAGTTCCCGTTATAAACAGTGTAATATATATCACATGTTACAGTTTCCATTATAAAGACAGTTTCCCCAAAAAATAGAACCTATCATAGGGATTAGTGAAAAAATTTATTAAAAATAATTGTAAATTACAATATAAAGTCAATTAAAAACAAACAATTTTCAAATTTAAAACATGAGATCATTTTTGTTTGCAAACAGAAATAAGCTAATTATATTTGTGGCAAAAAATTTTGTCTTGCTTTTAGTGAATGATATGAAGCAGTGATTTTCAGTAAGGAAACTAAGTAATAATTATTTTTAACAATAGATACCAGTGGGAAGGTAAGCCAAGCTGTCTATCAACACAAAACATCACAACAAAAACATTGTATCAATAGCATTCAACCACAGCTCATAGCTTATGGTATTTGATTTTTTTTTGATAAAAAATTTCCACATATAAGAGATGCTATGAATAGTAATACTAAAAAATACAAAAACATTACAAAACAAAAAAAATACAAAAACAACAAAAACATCACATCAATAATACACCACAATAACACATAACATAAGTTATTTGACTTTTGCTTTTTTATAATAAACTTCCACATATAAGAGAAGTTATAGGTTTTAATACTAAAAAATACAAAACATCACAAAAACATCGCATCGATAATAAACCACAATAACAGATAAAATAAGATATATGACCTAAGTTTTTTTATAATAAACTTCCACATATAATGATAAAGTTGTAGGTTTTAATGCTTAAAAATAACCAGGTTTCCAGTTTAATGCTTAAAAATAACCAGGTTTCCAGTTTAATGCTTAAAAGTAACCAGGTTTCCAGTTTAATTCTTAAAAATAACCAGGTTTCCAGTTTAATTCTTAAAAATAACCAGGTTTCCAGTTTAATGCTTAACCACGTTTCCAGTTCAATGCTTAACCAGGTTTCTAGTAGCAAAAACTGGTTTTTATAGTAATTAAACTAGCTTTGTTAGCTTTTTCAAAAAGTGTTTTTATTGGTAAATCAATCATTTATAAATAAGGTATGTTTGTAAACACAACCCTGTTTGTGTTACATTTATAAATGACACACCTTGTAATAAATGTTCATCAACTTTAAAAAACAAGCATTAAAAAATCTTGTTCTTAAACGTGCAGTAAAAAGTTGGCCATGCACCGGTCAAATTGAATTATATTCATGATCATTGACTATGCTAATCTAACAGGAAACTGAAATTTGATTATCTATATATTTGCTATACATGTTCATTATCAGTTGTATGGTATCAAGAAATATCTAAGAACTAAAAAATAAGCTCATTAATTCTCTATTTATACTTTATACAGAGAGAAAGAGAGGGACAGTACTAGTGTTTCCATGACACTAAGTTTAAAATGGAAAACAACAAATTATTATGACTTGTTATACAGTTTGCTAAAGGAAAGAAAACAATCAGCTTTTAAAGTTTTGTAAAGTTAACAGTAAACAAAATTATTTTTACTGTGTAGAATTTCAGTTTCTTCCTAACTGTTGACTAATAGTTAATACAATAAATTTCAAACCATTTAAATTTACTAAATTTAAACCATTTGTCTACTGTGTCCACAGTAGACAAACCAAAAAAACAGAACTAAAGAAATTAAAAAGGTATATATATATATATATATATATATATATATATATATATATATATATATATATATATATATATATATATATATATATATATATATTTAATGACATACCCAGTAAAATATTTGTCAACTTTAAAAAACACTTTTTTAATAAGCGATCTTATCTTGAACATGTTGCACACAATTGAATCCTGTTATGCAATAGTTATGTAATAGTTATGCAATAGTGAACCAATCAACATTTACAATATTTCAATAGTGAATCAATCAATATTTACAATATTTCAATAGTGAACCAATCAACATATACAATATATCAAAATAATTAAGAAAAGCAATTTTAAATATAGACAATTATTTGTTAGAAAAAAATAAAATAACAATATAAAATTGAGTATTTTTATTACACATTCACAATGATTAATTTATTTAATATATTTTTATATTATTTTTAATTACATTACAAATAAATAAAAATCATAAAGTTTATTATAAGAACTCAGGTTGAGTTGGTTATTTTTTGCATAATACAAATATGAAATAAAAGTACTAGAATAAAAAATTTTGTTATTTGTAGAATAAAAATGGAGTAATTCTTGTGGCGGACAAAGGTATGTTAAAGACTGTTAAATCTGATATTAAATTATCGTAAAAACACGTGATCTGCCGCAGGAATTAAATGCAAATAACTTTTTACATCTTTGAGTTTAGGTTTGACAACTGGTTTGCCATTTCGCCACTACGTTTTTAAATAATTGGAAAATGATTCTTTGTTTGGCTTTTCCCATTTTTTAATATTGATTTCCTTATATTCATCATTATTATGAACTGTTTTAATAAAAATACTAAAGCGCTCTTCTTGTATCAATTTTATTTTCTATATGTACACCCAGTTTATTGCTTCGCTCGAACAGTTTTTTTTTTCTATTAAAAATAGAAAGAAAAAAAATTTCTTTTTCTAATTTTTTATTACTAGCAAAATCTTCTTTTTTCATTCTATAAACTACAATGGGGTGTTTCTTCCTAGAATCTTTCATAATTTTGATGTAATCTTCAGGAGAAAAAATTTATATTGTTTTTTAATTTTACATTCAACATCCCCAAAATCACTGTTGTTGGGTAAAAAGCTATGACCTGATACTAAAAACCTTATTCTAATAGTTTTTAAGTTGTTTATGTTTGCAACTTGTCTAAAATAGACTTGAGCAAGAGTGTTATTTTTATACAGTCTAAATCTTTAATAAATTCTTCAATTCTTTTACAAATCTTCAAATAAACTTAAAAACTACTAAAATAAGTGAGCAAGAGTTTTATTTTTATATTCTGTCTGCCACAAAAAATCACTCTAAAGAAAATTTTTTTCAACCTCATTAGTTATTTTCTTAAGCAGGATCCAACCACTTGAACACCACGGCCACATCTTCAATCCAATCTTGAAAAGTAGAATTTTTTTGTTTTCCTGCAAAAAATGCCACAGTTAGACAACCATAGCTGTTTTTTTATTTGTTGTGAGGCAAGGTAATGTTAGTGTTTTCTCCATATCAAAAGTTTTGGTTTTTTCATCTTGCTCTGTTGTCTTAAAATCTAAATTCTTATTTTCAGCTTTGCTGTTTTCTTTTTCTAAAATTATCAATTTCTTTTTGTCACCCTCTAGAAGATTGTTTATTTTTGTTTTATGTATCACATTTGTTTAATGAATCACATTTGTGACAAATATCTTTTTTGGGGGACTTTGTTTTTAAATTAAATTGTTTAAAAAAATTTTTTTTGCACAATGAATTCTACTGCATTAGCATTATTGGCTTTATAAAGATCATACATTAAAGGCAATGTTATGCCTAATTGTAAATATTCTTGCCCCACTCTTTTTTTTCTACAATAATTCGATTTATAACAAGGAAATAAATTTATGCGATTAAAGACATAATTTTTTTAATGTTCTGATAGTGTCCACTGCCTATTCCACGTTGATCAAACACTTTCAAGTTCTTTGTTTTGTAAATAGCAGTATTTATACATTTTGTTGAAACATTCAAGTTATTAACAAATATGTTTTTACAAAAATTATTTTATTAACTATTATTTTTTATAAACAAAATTTTGCCTTAAAAACTGTTGTTTTTGTATCTTGAGCAGGAAATTTTTGTTTTCTACCTTTTTTTGGTCATCCTGTAATTAATTGGCTATATCTTTCTCTGCAAAACTTGTTGAACTTCTTAAATGCTCAACCAAATTTTCATCTAGTGAAATTTCATTGTTATCAGGTATGTAATTTTTATCTAAATATAAAATATTTTTGAAAATATTTTTTCAATAGTAAACATAGAAACTTTTTACTCATTAGTCAAAATTCAATTAGTACAAAACAATTACAAAAAATCTGTTTTTAAAATAATAAAAATTAAGAAATCGGGCATTTGCAATTGTGCTAACTGAGTGCTATGTGTATTTGAATTTTATAATTTGATAATAATAATACAATTTATTGACCATACATATTACATATTTTTTAAGTTCTTTGCAATGTAACTGGAACACTAGAGCACATTTTAACAATAAACTATCAACTAAACATTAGCAAAAATAAACTATCAACAATAAACTGATCACAACCAAACCAAACAAGTATAAACTTCTTTAAATAATTTATTCACATAAAAATAATTAAATGAGTATTACCTATAATAATGATTGTTATAGGTAATACCCATTTAATTAATTTTATGCGAATAAATTATTTTTATGCAAATAAATTATTTGCGTAATAATTATTAAAGGTATTACGCATGATAAAACCTACCGGAGATGTGCAATGCAGAACCAAATTAATTTTGTTCTGCAATATAGAACTATAAATTCTTAGTTAGAAATATTTAAGTTTTATAATATGAAATTTTTAACAAATTTATTCACAGCCTCTTGCTAATGTCTATCATTATTATAGATATTTATAGTTAGTTTTTTTTCCAATTAATAACTCATTTTAAATGAAATGTTAGTTGGTTCCATTTATTGCATAACGGTGTAGAATTGTGTGGAGCGAAGTGTGAAGCAAAGCATGAGATAAAGATTAATTTTTTATTAATTCACAAAGTTTACAAGCAAAATATACACCTTCACATTATATATATAAATAACCATACATACTACCAAGGAATGGTAAAAAATACTTAAAACAAAATGTTTAATAGTCAAAGACATCGCTAAAACTTAGTGAAACATTTGATTATAAAAGGTTTATTTTACTCAGTAAACCTTTAAATTTAGACTGGAATCATTCACAATAAATGTATAGACTGGAATCATTCACAATAAATGTATAGAACAACGGCAGTCCAAAGTATAGAACAATCAACAGTCCAAATAAAAAAAACAGCATTTCATATGTTTTAGTTAACAAATATATTACATAGCAAGGAATGATTTTTTGTTTTATGGACATACATGGAAACATAAAAAACTTGAATGATCTCAAAACATCTTGGCGCGGAAGAATATAAAGAATATTCGTGAACACTAAAAACCTGCCAAATAAACGAACAAACTAGTTCTATTGGTTCAAAAAATACGCTGACTAAGCAAAATAAATTTTTAAAGTATTCTGTTGAAATGTTTTGAAATTTGTATTATTCGCAATTTGTTTTGAGATTTCTAACATAAATTATTTTAAGAATATATTATCAATACTATGGCTCATTCTCGGAGCCACATCTGCAAAGCCGTAAATCTTATTAACTATTATTATTGCTTTGAATCCACTTTCTTTCAATCTATTTCGAATAGTACATGAGCTCACTTGTAACCCAAAATCTTTCTCAAGGAGGCTTGACACTTTTGGTGCTGATAAAAAGGATTTTTTGCACCATCATAACAATTTGTGTATCTAATATTGATGTTGTTTTACGCTTAGCTCCGGATCTCGGCTGATTTTGCTCATATCCAAACACATTATACTTTTTAATCAGATTGCTGATGGTTCCTATTGCCATTCCAGTTGCTTTATTTATCGACTTGAATGTTTTACCTTCATTGAACAATTCAATAAACAAATTGCACTGAGCTTAGGACCCTACTTGATGATATCAATGGAAAATCAAATGAATTAAAAAAATATCAGTCAATTATTAAAAATTACTCCTTGTAAAACAATAATATTTTTAAAACTATTGATTTAAAATTTTATTTTAATAATCAATTTCAAAACTTTGTTTGCAAAACAACACATTCAGATAATTATTTTTCGTTGAAGTTTTAACCTCTCCTTCTGGAATCGTTGATTTTAACAACGCAAGTTAACTAAGGTTGATTAATTTTTTGCTATATAAAATCGTGATTAAATTTGCTTTTAGAATAATTTTAAAAGTATTTATCAAAAACATGTTTTTTTAAAATAACCTAACAAAGTTTATTTTTTACAATAAAATTTTATGTTCGGATACTTATTTTTCTGACTGTATATATATATATATATATATATATATATATATATATATATATATATATATATATATATATATATATATATATATATATATATATATATATATCAAATCTATTGTTTTAAAATTTGACTGTTATTTTAGGTCTACCTCTGCATAAATGAAAGAACAGGGAAAAAGCTGGCTATGAAATCTATTGACACAGGAAACACTGACAATAATGCTAATGCAAAAAAAGAAGTAGAAAAATTTAAACATGAAATTTCACTTTTTCAAACATTAAAGCATGAACAAATTGTGAAATATTATGGTTCTTCTTCGAAGACCACATGTGTTTCTTTTTTAATGGAATACATGGAAGGAGTAAATAAGTTTCATTTATTTGTTTATGTATCTGTTTATCTTTTTTTGTGTTATTAATTTATTCATGACTTTTTTTTCAGTTTTTCATTTTTATTTATAATTTCAAATTTTTCATTTATTATGTAGATAGTGAATGTTTAAGTACGCAATTTTAAATTTTGTTTTGTTATCATTTTTCATTGTTACTAAATTATCCAAATTTAGAAAAGGGAGAACAGGAGGACATAAGCTCATAAAATTAAAAACACGTAGCAATGCAATTAGTGATTTAATTTTCCACTTTAAAAAATATTGTTTGAGTAACACACAAAATAAAAATTAAAAAACTTATAGCAACTATTTTTAGTATTTGTATAAAAAAGAAATGAGATCTTATGATGATTGGATAATGGCTCATGTTTGGCAGATATAAACATTTTTCTGTATGCATGTTAGCTTATATGTTATACAAGATTTTTATCAATTTTTTAAACAAAATTATTTCTTTTTTGCAGTTGATTTTCATTTTTAGCTTCCCTGTTATTTTTATACATTTAATCCTTGACTAGAAATCCTAAATTTGTTATAATTCTTGGGCACAAGCCAGATTAAACTTTTAGAACATGATTGATATTTTTTTCATCCAAGTTACACTTTTGACATCAAGAGTCATAGCTTTTGGAGTGCAAAGAGTTTAGTTGTATTTACTTTCACAAAGACGGTTGCATTTCTGCTATCACATCTTTTAAAAAGTTCCAGTCATTTTCAATTGGATTAATATCAGGAAAATTCCCAGGCTAATCAAGTGCATTTACTTTTTAGAAAAAAGCGTTGTGGAGACAATTTTCGCACAATGACACAGTGGGCCATTGTACATAAAGATAAAGGTTTTATGAATTCCCATCTCCAATTTTTCTTTAAGCATTTAATTAAAATAGTTTATGCCATTCATTCTTTGTTTCTAAGACAGGAAAAGCGACCACCTCTTCCTGAAACATATATACACCCCTGAATCATCTGCTTGGGTGGGTGCTTCATACTCTGTTAATCTGTTGTTGAAAAATCAAGCAATCTGTCATTGAGATAAACCTATTTCTGAAAGTGCAACAGCTTGAGCACGCTTAGCAACTGAATACAATTGTTGTTTCCACATTTTATGAAAATAGCAAATCATTTTTATGAAATTTTTTTTTATGAAAATAGCAAATCAATTTTATGAAAATAGCAAATAATTTTGTAATTTAAAATAAGTTTGTTGATATTAGTCACAAATTCGCAAATAACGCTATTAAATGATGATTCCAAGAATTTATAAGTTTTATAAATTTTAAAAGCTATTTTTAGAAATAGGAATTTTCTTTATGCATAGACTAAAGCTATCACTATTTAGAAGTGTTTTGCTGTCATTTGCGTTATGATATTTTATTTTATTTTAGGTTTAATTCATACTGATTCTAAACTTTGGCACTTTCTAGTTGTATATATATATATATGTGTATGTATATATATATATATATATATATATATATATATATATATATATATATATATATATATATATATATATATATATATATATATATATATATATATATATTTATATATATATTATACATAATTCATAGCTAAGTATGCAATTACTTAATACTAATGATGTGCCATTGGCACATTGGCCGATAGAAGCTAATGATTTAATGTATGTATATAAAAGTAATATCTTAATAATTGGATTGCAATTTGCATATATAAGGTGTGCCTATGCTCCAGTTGGGTTTGGCTTATTAGCCAATGCTGGTGCATCAGCCAATACCGATTAATCAATCAATGCCATCTGTCGAATAATCGGCCAATGGTTAAAGTGATTAATTGGTTACTGGTTACCAATAGCATGGGCTAGTAGGTCAAATCACTTCTGTTGAATAGGTTAAATATGTAATTTATATCCTTAATATTATTATAATACCCTTAAATGAATACATTAAACCTATTATTCGCCACAATCAGCATTTGCAATCGGTACATCACTAATATCACTAGTTAATACCATTTTTGCTCTCCTAATGTAAAAATGTGTTTTAATTTTTTAGTGAACAAAAATAAAAACCAAGAATAATAAAATAAAAAGTTGCTGCCCCATGCCAAATCCTTATTTGATGTAGCAGCACTCCTTTGTGGCAGCATACTATAAGCAGGGTTGGCAAAAACCTGTTGTTTTTTTTTTAAAAAAACCGAGTTTTTGCCCAGTGGGTTTTTTGGGTTTTATTTTTATTTTGTCTCTATTTTATTTGACTTTATTTAAAATATATTTTATACATTGTATAAACAATATATTATATTAACAATTTATAACTTTCAAATTACTTTAATTTTCAAATTTAAATTTCAAAAAGAATTTTAAATATAATTTAAAACTGTAATAGAAAAAAAAACTTCTAAAAAAAAAAAAAATTCTAAAGTTAAATCTATATGTATTGATTTATTTTAAATTTAAAAGTATTATTCTATATAATTAAAAATGTCAATGAGAAACGGAAAAAAAAAGGCTAGAGAATGGGAGGTAGTAACTGAAGTTTCAATTCAACTTTTAACTTAAAATTGAAATGAACAAACTTGTTTCTCCGTGCAGCGGCCTTGTTTATAAAGATTTATAAACAAGGTCGTTTATAAATGTTATTCCGCCTCTCTTGTATGGTTCTGACTGAGTTATTTGCTATAAACTTTTCATTAATATCATCTCTTAATTCTATTAGTTGCGTTCTACTTGGTTTGCCATCAAACAGGTTGATCCATTGCTTGACATTTGTATCACTCCAGCTTCTGTATCTAAAGTGATTTTTTGCTTAGACTCTTCTTCAGCTTGTGACCCAGACAACATATTTTTTAGTCTTGCAGAAGTGTTCTCTGGAGCTGATGTCTATCAGAGTCTTGTTTTCAAGACTGTTGGAAAGATGTATCTGTTATCCCTAATTTCAAAAATTCTGGATAGCAATATATTTGTCTAACTACCGTCCCATTAGTCTTCTTCCTATCATAAGCAAGGTTTTTGAATCTTTGATTAACAAACACTTAATCTCTTGAATCCTATAACTTACTTTCTGATTATCAATATGGATTTCGATTTTTTTCTACAGCTAACAGTAACAACCAACAGGTTTTATTGTGCATTAGATAAAGGTGGAGAGGTTAAGGCCATCGCTCTTGACATTTCTAAAGCGTTTGATTAAGTTTGGCATGCTTGTCTTCTCCATAAGCTATCAATTTAGGGTGTATCTGAAAGCATCTTTAAGATTATTAAATCCTCCTTTCCAATCGTAGTATAAAAGTTGTACTTGATGGACAGCACTCTTCTTCTTATTCTGTAACATCAGGGGTTCCTCAAGGTTCAATCTTTGGCCCTATACTCTTTTTAATTTACATTAAAGATCTTCCAGGCGTTCTCACATCTAGGGTGGCATTGTTCACTAATGATACTACCATTTATTCTTGTCGTGATAAGAATAAATGGTAGTATCATTAGTGATACTACCATTTATTCCAACTATTTTCACATTGTTGTAATGTTGTTTCTTTATGACAAAAGGTTTTTCAACAAATCATAAAATATGTTTTCCAATTTAAAAAGAAGTTAAATTTTATTTAGTAGTGTTACACAAAAGCTTATTATATTATATATCTTTACGCTGCAGTTATGCTGCAAAATGCAATGGTATTTTTTAACAATAGATTAAAATTTTGCATGATGTTTTTTCTCTTTTTACAAATACTATAATGGACACTGCTCTTAAGAGCTAGCGCCTCTTGTGCCATCTACTAAAATTTAGTAGTCGTTGTTCAATTGTCTTATCCTTTTTCTGTGGTTGTTCCTAAGTGCTTCAAAAACTCTTATTCCTCTAGTTTTTTTTCTTGAACATCAATTCTTTGGTATTCGCTTCCTTTATCCTGCTTTCCTAATTCATATAATTTGTAATCTTTTAAGTCGTCTGTCAATCGTAATCTTGCTCAACAATCTTTATCTTTTCTCTTACAGTAACTCCCAACTCTAATTAGTGGTTGCTTGCAGTCTTGTTGGGAGTGATAATGTTAAAAATATATATATATGTATGTATATGTATATATATATTATTATATATATATATATATATATATATATATATATATATATATATATATATATATATATATATATATATATATATATATATATATATATATATATACATGTAGCAGCACTCTGTTGGAAGTCAGGCTATATGTCAATCAATATAGCAGTACTCTGTTGATAGTCAGGCTATATGTCAGTCAATGTAGCAGCACTCTGTTGATAGTCAGGCTATATGTCAGTCAATGTAGCAACACTCTGCACATGTTTTACAGTGAAAAGATAAAAGTAAAAACATTCAGAATGTTTTTATTTTTAAAATATAAAATGAAAACATTCAGAATGTTTTTAAAAACATTCTAGTCTTTTAACTTGCGGTTTTTTGTGTTTTTTTTTTTTTTTTTTTTTGTAATTCACCTCCCCAAAGTCGAGAAGGCCACTACAGATGAGGAGGCTACTTGTGGTTATAACCTTTTCTCAACTCTATAACTCTGAAACATGAGCCTTGATAAACAATGCTGCTACGCGGAGAAACAAGTTGAGCACCGTACTACCAGGGATGTAATGGGGATCGAACCTCTTGCTTATGAAGCGAGCGCTCTACCACTACATCACTACCGGTTTTGTGATTTAATTGTTTCTTGTAACTAAATTAATGCGTTTTGACATAATCTGATCTTACTTTTGTCAGCTTTAATAACACAAACAAGAGAAGAGCCATTTTTTACCACAAACACGTTTTCTTAGCTGTAAACTATAGGAATATATATATATATATATATATATATATATATATATATATATATATATATATATATATATATATATATATATATATATATATATATATATGCACAGTGTAGTAAGTAAAAAAAAAGTTAAAAAAAAAAATAATAATCAAAGAAAAAATTGTGACCCCGTTCCTAATTCTCAGTCAATGTAGCGGCACTCCCTTGCTGCAACAGGCTATATAATTTCAAATGAAGTACAGAAACAGGAAGAGCTGCAATTGAATACTTCATTTAAAGAAACAATTGAAGAAAGTTTAAAGAAATTTAAAAAATCTCCTATAAAAAATCATGTATTATAGAGATATGCAACTGAAAAAAAGCCTATTGAATCAGCTTTGCTTTTGGATTGCAAAACAAAATGGAATATAATCGAAATTATGGCAAAATGATTTTTAAGAATAAAGGGTGCCATTAAAAAAAATTTCATTGGAATTATACATAAATCACCTATGGAAAGATCATTATGTCAGTATTGCAGAAACATTAATTGTTTTTGACCCCTTATATTAACTGTTAAAAGTTTAAGCTAAAATTTCACTTTTAACTGTGGAAATATCGTGGAAGAATTTTATTTGCAAAGTTAGAGGAAGTTGGTTCTAAAATAAGTTAAAATTTGTAAAGAAAATAAAAGACATTGTTATCAGAAGAGATAAAATCTCTGTATGAATTTAAAAAAAATCCATGTTTTGACAGCAAAGATGCTCTCGCTTCTTCTTTTCTAAATCTGATCCAGACTGAAATTTATATAAAACCATAGTTATAATAGAGTAGATTGTTGACTCCTGTTGCAAATGGAGAGACAACAAGATGAGGAGAGGAACTTTTGCTAATGCTGAAGCTGAGTTAAAATATAGTACAATTATCTCTCCAGGAACAATTAATTTTATCAATTGAACTGTTAATGAAGTTAATCCTGTAAATGGTATTAACAAAATACAAGTAAAAAACAAGACAAGAATGCAATATCATTCAGACAACTGATTCCAGAACAAAAAATTTAGAACTTCTTAGGGATGCACTGTCAACAATAAAACTGAAAAATCTAGAAATCTTAAGCACTTATTATGCTTATCATAATAACCTAACTCTATTAGATGATCTTCTAAAACTCAAACATCTATAATCATTTTTATGGTCTTACATCTGTTGTTTTTTTTAAATATAAGTGGCATTGTCATATGCTATGTCAAAGAGATGAAATTTTGAGAAGTTTGCGCTCTTAGCAAAAAAAAATGTTTTTGAAAAAAAAGTGTTTTTGAAAAATTTTGAAAAACTTTGAAAAATTTTGTAAAAAATTTTTCAAAGTTAGTTTATTTAGCTTTGATTTAGAATTCTCAGTTGAAAATATAAAAAGTTTAAATTGTATCTCCTTAATAATCTTCTTTTTAAATTGTATGTCTTTAATAATCTCTTTCATATATATATCAATCAATCAATCAATATACATAAAATCAAGATCAATATACATAAAATCAAAAAAATTGTTGGCATCATTATAACGGTAAAACATTTGATTATAAAAATAAAAGTTAAATTTTTTCATTATAAAAATAAAAAAAACTGAAAATGTAATAACCTTTTATCATCGTCTGTTAGTTTTAGCATCTACATCATTTAGGTTTCTCAATTAAAAAAAATATTTTAGTTAAATTTAACACAATTAAGTTTATGTTTTTTTTGTAAAAACATAACAACCTTTTTGAATGCCAGAATGCTTTCAAAACTTCTCGATCTTCTACATAATAATTTTTATGATATCTCACTTTAGTCTTTCTGCATGTGTTCACAATTAAGAAAAATTAAGTAGAGTACACTCACATTTGTGGGTAACTGGCATCTCTTTTTTGGGGTCTTTAAGTAAATTACAGAGGAGCCATGCTTCTTTGTCATTAAAACACATTTATAACTGCTTAAAACATATTTACAAATATTTTTATTTAAAAACTTCTAAAATTGTAAACCAGGTAGTGGTTATATTTCTCAGTGGTAGTGAACAGATAATCATTCTGTTAATTAGATAGGCGGGCATCAAAACATCATCAAATGATCTAAAATTTTGTACAGATTCATTTTTTTCCAAAAAGAACAAGATACGAGGAGAAAAAAATTTGAAAAAAATAAAAGTCTAATTTAGATAGCATATAAACATACAAATATGTAAACATATAAATATATAAATGTGTGTTTGTATGTATGTATGTATGTATGTTTGTATATATATATATATATATATATATATATATATATATATATATATATATATATATATATATATATATATATATATATATATATATATATATATATATATATATATATATACATACATATATACATATATGTTCAATGTTAATTTTCAGGGATCTCTTTACGATAAAGTATCAAATAAAGGAGCTCTAGATGAGAAGACAGCATCAGAAAAATCTTATCAAATTCTTTGTGGATTGGAATACTTACACAATAAAAATATTGTACACAGGGATATTAAATGTTAGTTTCTTATTATTTAATATATTTTTTGTCTTTAATTTAATGTTTACAATAAAATTTATAATTTAGTTAAGTATAGTTTGAAAATAAAATGAAAAACTTTTTGCAATTATACATTTTTTTTTCCATTGAATAAAATAAGATTTGATTAATTATTGGAATTTGAAAAAAATAGAATTCTAAAATAATTTTTCAGTTTCATAATTTATCTTTAGCAAGCTTTTAAATTTTTTATTTTTTTTTAAATTTTCTTTTTTTAGCAAGAGTTTTTAAAATTTTCTAACAATTATTATTTAAGTCATTTATTGAAAAACTGCAGTGAGATAAAAATAATTAAATAACGAAGTGCTTTTTTATAAACTAACTAAAAGAAATATAAAGTGAAAATTAAAGATTTGATAAAATCAAATATCAATAGGTCAGGTTAATAAAAAGCAATTGCTTTTACTCAACATTTTTGGAGTAATTGTTCAGCCATACGTGAATAAAATTTTCAGCGAACTTGCTCAAATTTTTATTCATGTAAAGCTAAGCAACTTACTCCAAACAAGTAATTGTTTAATTTACATGAATAAAAATTTGAGCAAAAAACTGAAGTTTTTGTTCATGTAAAGCTGACCAGTTACTGAATAAAAGCAATTGCTTTTTTTTATTCACCCTGCCTAATATCTAATTTAACAGCAAGTTTTAAACAAAAACTGTTAACTTCATTAAAACAACCATGTTTAAATTTTTTTTTAATGCAAAAATCTGGTCAAAATTCAGAAATGTTTAAGTATTAGTTTTACAAATAAAATAATAAAAATTATTACAATTAAAAAAGTGAAGTAGTAAAATAAATTATTATGTTATAAAAAAAAATCAGGAAAACATGAAAATGGGAAAATCAGGAAAACATGAAAATGGGATGAGTACCAAAGGATTTAAGAACAGGGAAAAAAACAAGACAAATAAAAGTTTTTAGTAGATGCATGGACAGATATAGTAAAAGAGTGAAACTGCTGAATTACAAGTCAAATGATAATGAATTTTAGTTGATGGAACAAGAGATGATAACTCCTTTGAGCAGTGCTCGTGGTAGTACTTGTAGAAAAGAGAAAGAGATGCAATTTTACAACAGAGAGAAACTCAAGCTTGGTATATAAAACAGGTCCAACTACGTTTACAATGCATTTTTGGACCTTGTCTTAAAAAAAAGAACATTACTAGAAGTACCAGCCATGACAACAGCATTATATACAGAGAAGAATAAAAGATTTGTAGAGGAAGAGAGTAAAATTAGGAGTAATATAATGGCGAGAACAATAAAGAGAAGCAACCTTAGCAGATGCTTTGCAATCAATTTTTTCAATCGGTTGTATATATGGTTTCTATGAGAGGTCAGTAATGAAAGATAATCCAAGAAGATGTAAAGAAGAGGACTCAGTGAGAGGGTTGCCATTCAATAATAAGTGTCAACAGTATTAGCAGTAATTATCAATTAATTTATATATATATATATATATATATATATATATATATATATATATATATATATATATATATATATATATATATATATATATATATTAATTAATAATTAGCAATAGTTGTTTGCAGTTAATATATTAGTTTTATTGTAATTAAAATTCACAAGCCACTGCAAGCCCCAATCTATTACAGAAGTGAGATCAGATTTAAGATTGGCTGTCTGTTTTAAGTGATTGAAAAGAAAAGACTTTTTTTCAAGACAAGAGTATAAAGTTGAGTCATCAGCAAATTGAGCCACTTTAGATATAAGGTTGTCAGTAAGATCAATAATGCAGATTAATGCCAGATACACCATATAAAGCAAGCTTATGCAAGTATGACCAGTATGCAAAACTTTATTAAAAGCTTATGTCTTCTTATAAGCTTGACAAAAAGCTCTTGACTTATTAAAGCTTGATATGTCAAGAGCAATAGCCCTTGCCTTGTCGTCTTTATCTTATGCTTACGCCTTATGTCTTATAATAGAATCTTTCTGTCACAGCAGTTAGCAAGTCTGCCATAGAACGAGAAGATAAAAACTGTATTGATTGTCAGACAGATTGTTAGATTGTCAAAAGCCTTAGATATGTCAAGAGCAGTAGCCCTAGTTAGCAAGACAGCTGTAGAGCGAGAGAATCCAAAACCGTATTGATTGTCTGACAGCAAGTCATTTGACTCAATATGGTATGTTAGAAATTTGTTGAAGACTGAACGACCTTGCTAATATTAGATAGAAGATTGATTGGACAATTGTTGGAAGGGTCAGGATGTTCTTCAGAAATTTTTTAAAATTTTTGAAAATTGAAACAACAGTTGCCATTTTCCAGCAAGCAGGAAAACAAGATACTTATTAAATAGTTTAGAGAGAACTGAATAGTGTTCTGGAGAACACTTTTGTAAGACTATGACAGGAATGTTGTATTAGCTATAGAAAAGTTTAATTGAGATATGACTTTAACAATGGAAGCTGGAGTGATTTGAATGTCTAACAATAGGTTTAACTAAAATGGCAAGAAGAGTATGGGCATGAAATTCAAGAGTTGGTTAAGAAAAAAATTTTTTTGTAATTAATTCCGCCTTTTCCTTGGGAGAGGGATAGGCCCTAAAGACACAGAGAACTGTAGAAGAACATTTAATTAAAAAGTTCACCCTTCCTTCAATTTTTGATCTTGTCTTTTTCAAGGATAATGTAGATTTAATTGCAAAGAACTTTTCCTTTAATTCAACTCTTGAATCTAATAACCACACTGTCTTTCTTGAGAAACAAGTTAATGAATCAACTTTTAATATAAAGTTAATAAATCACTTTCTTGAGAAACAAGTTAATGAATCAACTTTTAATATAAAGTTAATAAATCACTTTCTTGAGAAACAAATTAATAAATCACACGTTAATAAACCGGTTCTGTTGAAAAAGTTATTACTACATTCCTGTTATATTCTTACAAAATTGTTTTCCAGGACTCTCTTTAAACAATTTAATAAGTGATTGATTAATTTTTTTTAATTTTGTCTGGAAAATGGCATCCAATTCTAAAAAACTTTTGTGAACACTCTAACTCCTCTAGTTATTGTTCAGCCTTTGAGTCTTTAGTTAACCAATCTTATATTGAGTTTAATGAGGAAATTCAATATGAGTTTCAATCCTCTTGCCCTACAGATGATTTAATTGTTACTTATTTATAGTTATAACAGAAAGGTTTTATCATGAATTAGATGGTGGCAGCATGGTTGGGGCTATTGGTCTTGACATATTAAAGGCATCGTATAATATCTGGCATGATGGTTTTCTCCATAAAATCTATTCATATGGTGTATCGGGGAAAGTTTTTAATGTTGTTTAATCATTCCTATTCTAACCTCAGTATTAAATTTGTCCTCAAAGGCCGCAACTCCTCTTCATTTCCAGTAACTTTTAGGGTACAACAAGACTCTATACTTGGTCCCTTATTGTTTTTTATCTTTAATGAACTTCATGACAATCTTACATCTAAAGTGGCTCTATTTGCTGATGGCACAACAATATACTTCTGTCTTAACAAAGAGTCATTTTTTTTGATGGCTTAGAACAGGCAGCCAATCTTAAATCTAATCTTTTATCTTGTGAGATCTGTTAACTCCTAGAAAATTCAGTTCCATTCTTCAAACATTTAATAAACAATTAATGCAATACTGTTGATTTTCTTATATTGATGAAAGGCAATACTGTACTTTATGTCTTTTTTTAGATTATCATTTCAGAAATATTATCTCAAACTACAGTGCTTCTGTAGATCTTCAAGTAATATGGATCACACTGCAAAAAGTCAAATCAAAATTAAAATTAAAACCTTTTAATACTTTTCTTCTTCTTAAAAGTAAAGTTTTGATGGCTCAACTGGAAAATCTGTTTTAAACAGAGAATTAAAGATGAAGAGGAAAGGTTGCAAGTTTCAGTAATAGAATCTTTGTTTCTTTAATGTTGTTACAAATCACATAAAGTGATTTGTAACAACATCAAAGAAACAAAGATTCAAGGTTGATACAAATCACATTAAGTGATTTGTATCAACCTTGTAATATTTGTGCATCACACAAAAATGAAGTTAAGTTAAAATGTTTATATATATATAATTTTTATCAATATTTATATATCTATATATAAATATTGATAAAAATTGTTTGAAAATCTTTAAAACCTTAGCGTGAAACCATGAAATTACACACATATAATGTTGTTGTACATTTTTGCTGTGCAAGTATATGCACCGAAAAATATAAGTTTACATATTTATGATATATGTTTCTTCGTACTTGTTCTGTGTCCTTGATGATGATGTTAATTAACCTGGAAAGCAAACATGTATATGTTTAACTCATAGAAATAATTTTTATCATGTAGATTAATATATAGCATAAAGAAGTATGAATATATGAATAATAAATTGCTTTAAATAATTGGTTTGCAACATGTGTTATGTTTTGCTGTGTAACAAGATGTCATAAACCATGTCTCGGTTTTCTTTAGTTAAAAGTTCCTAAAAAATATATATCTGTTATAATAAGTGTATTAAAAATGTTTTGTTATGCTATGTGTTCTTGGTGTTCTATGCATGTATGATTATTATCCAATTGAACAAAAATAACCATTTATAATCAATAGGACATTGAAAATTATGTATATCTAAGATGTGTCACATACCTATTATTTATTATGTCATTCGTACTTGGTTTCCTGTTAAAGGTGTGTTCATCAGAGGCATGGTGGGAAAGTTGCAATAATTGTAATAGCCCATGGTATAATAAATATTCACCTTAAATTTCAGAGTGTTAGCTTTAAAAATGACAAATAAATCTTTCCCTCTAAATTGAATCTGGACTGTGAAGTGCATTCATAGTTAGCATCTGCTAAGGTCATTTACTGCGATTCTATTCTCTTTCTCAAAAAAAGTGTTTTTTAAACTTTTTTGTTTGCAATCTCTTTTTACACTTGAAAATTTCAAAGGAACACCTGAACAATGGGTATGTGTAAAAAACATCTCAGAGTGAGAGGTAGCGAGTAGAAATCATTTACATTCAGAAGGAGTTGATTTTGAGTTTATTTGCACTGAAGCACAAATAATATGAATATGTCTGTCAAATAACACAATTTGCAAACCCAAATTTCACTGCAGAAAACGTTTAAAAAACATACTTTGTTTCTAAAAAAATCATTACTTCATATTTCAACCCTATAAATCGTTTTAAAACTCGTCTCTTTGACAACCATCTTACTTCTGTATGTAGTATAAGCTGTTCATAATTCGCTCCTTACATAAATTTGCAAACAAATAACTATTACTGGTTCCATTTCTATTTTTTGGTTCTGTCTCAGCAAGATATTTTATCTACACTTTTCTTCTAGCTTTCCTTACTAACCATTTATTCAAAATTTTATTGAATAATATTTAAAAATAAATTTCTAAATTTAGTAAAATGTTTATTTTTATTATTTATAAAGTAAAAATTATTTTACTTTTTTTTTATATTGCTACATAAATCCATAGTAAATTAATACAATATTTGAAGCATAAATTGATCTGTCATCAGTTTTTCTGTGACCCCCAAATATTTTTCCAAAAACCCTTTGAAGGTTGTGACCCCCTCTTTGAAAACCGCTGCTCTAAAAATCTCTGATTTCTTCCCTGCATGCAATACTGTGGATATTTTTAAATAAATCAGTCTTGCTGACTGATTTATTTAAAAATATCCTTTCTCTTTCTTTTATATATCTTATATATTTTTGAGAAAAACATAAATTTGTTTCTTGTCTAATATTTAAAAAAAAATGCATGTTTGTAAGTTCTTGGTTTTTGCTCGTGCCTCTTTGATATTGGGAAAAACCTCTTTCTGTTATCTTTTATGGAATATATAAGCTTTAAAAATCAGTTTTTTAGTTATAAGACTGGCTGGTAGTAAGATTAAATCGAACAATATGGTAGCACTTAAAGAGGCTGATTCCACCAACAGTTTTAAAACTTCAGACTATTAAAAATACCATGTTGTGCATGGATAGTTTTCCTGTTAGTACTTTTGGTGTGCATTATTGAGGCTACATAAAGAACTGTTTGTTACAACTTTGTATTGAATAATGTAAATTATTTATCTGCATAGCTTATTGCTCAGTGTGACAAGTAAGTATGTTTGAGTCTCTCTAATAATTTATATGATTAGGATTTGATAACATTTTGGAGATAAGTTTGAGGAAGAGCTCTTTGATTTTTAGTTTATAACTTTTTAGTCTTATCTGAAATAATATTCATGTGTGGGAGATAAAATGTTTGACTTGCTTTTCTTGTCAAATAAAAAATTTTTCAAAATTTTTTAGAATTATGACTTATTTTCCTTTCTTTACTTTCCTAATAGAATTTCAAATTTTGTATATTTTATATTGTTTTAACATATATTTTTTTGATTGGTTATAGATTTCAAAGAAAAAATTAATGAAATTAATAAATTCTTTTTTATTGTAGGTGCCAATATATTGTTAGATTTATATGGGAACTGTAAACTTGCTGATTTTGGTATATCAAAACAGATACAAGTAGATTTTCTGATTATTTTATTTATTTGCTTTTGTTAATAACTTTGCCTCTTTCAATGAAAAGTTTATATTATAATATTTCTATTATATATTGAGTGCATGTGCATTAGTGGATATATTAAGGAATATATATATATATATATATATATATATATATATATATATATATATATATATATATATATATATATATATATATATATATATATATATATATATATATATATATATATACAGCGTGGAAAATAACAGCTAGTCAACAGGCTACAACCACCCAAAAAGACAAAAATTTCTATTTTGACTTCCCAAAACGAATTCTTGCTGGTCATGGTTGCCGGTTGAAAAAAAGTTTAAGTTTTGAAAAACAAGATTTGACAAACAATCAGGATATAATTTTGAAAATGCATTTTCTACAATGATTTAAATTTATTTAAATTTTAAAAAGCGTTTTAAAAAGTTTTATTGTTTACGATCACTGATCTCTATAATAACTGGGTAGTGCATCTCTAATATGAGATGCACTATCCAGTTAATAAAAGTTAAAAACTTGGCGCCAAAATTGTCATACTGGAAAGCCCCAGAAAGCTGAATGGAATTTATGAGATTATACTGTTATACTTAAAGATTTTATGAGATTATACTGTTATTATAGAATAATAATAACTATTTATAAGGGTTAGGGAGGTATTTATAACATGGTAACAGTTGTTACCATATTATAAATACCTCCCTAATCCTCCGTTAAAAAAAAGCTGTTATTTTAATGTTATTAGTGATTTTTATGAATCCTAATAAATCATATTTTTAGACAATTCGTTCACAAGCAGGATGTAAAACATCAGCTGGAACACCTTACTGGATGAGTCCTGAAGTTATTAGTGCAACTTTTCTAAATATTGAATATGGAAAAAAAGCTGATATATGGTATTTTTTTAATGTTTTAAATGTATAGTTAGATCATTTTATTTATTGGTTTTATTTCATTCATCCATTTATTAATTAGATTAGTGTACAATAGCGATGTTAACTCCATTTTAAATTAAGTTTTTAAAAATTTCTTTTAATTTAAGTTTTTAATTTGATCAAAATTGATAAAGGTTACCAGACTTTTTATCAAGCTGTGAAGCTCCTCTCTTGACGTCAATAAGCCCTACTGTTGTAGAGCTACCTTTTTTTTTTTTTTTTTTTTTTTGTTAACATTAAAATTTTATTTTAAAGTTTTGTTATTGTTTAATCTTGAAGTGTGTTTACCCAATGTATTGCTTTTTCAAAAATTTTATTAGGAAGTTGTTTTGAGGGATGAAGCTAGAAAGGAATTTACTCAATTTAGGTCAAATTAGATATGGTAATTCTGTTTAGTTTAGTTTACTGATAAAAGTAGTTTTAAATTATATGACTTTATTGCTGGAACAAGACACTAAATGTGAAGATATATTTAATATAATACATACATAAGTTTAGTAAAATGCATAAACTTGTATATATATATATATATATATATATATATATATATATATATATATATATATATATATATATATATATATATATATATATATATATATATATGTATATATATATATATATATATATATATATATATATATATATATATATATATATATATATATATATATATATGTATATATATATATATATATTATATATATATATATATATATATATATATATATATATATATATATATATATATATTGAACACTATTGCTGACCGCGCACATGATTTTTTTTGTTTACAACTTGACCATGACTGTTTAGATGTTTTGATGATTTCAGAACGTTTCAGAAATGCGCTGAAAAAAGAAACGTTAAGCTTAACTTAAACTAGGAGAAAAATTAAAAAAACAAAAGAATAAGCAAAGCGATTCCTTACAAAAAAGAAAATAAAATTAAAAAAACTAGAAGTTAACAATATTTATAACATAAACATTTGAAAAAAATTACTTTAAAACTCATCTTTTACAATTTTTATTGACTGTTTAATAAATGAAAAAATTTTATTTAAATTGTTGAAAAGTGAAATTAAATTATTGAAAAGAAAAAAATATAATATTTTTAAGTTGTATAAACTTATTTTTTTTTGCAACATTTTTTTCAAAATTTTGCAAAAAAAAAAATGTTTAAAAAAATCATGTAGACTTTTTAAAATCGTAATTTTTAATCATTTCATGCTTTAATTTAGTAAGTCAAGTTTTAAAAAAAAACTTTTTTACAATTCTTTGTAAAAAAAGAAACAAAAAAAAAAAGCAGTTGAATCTTGGAAAGACTTAATTTAACATATTCATTATTTAAAGTGACTTAAAAAAATAATCTTTTGAAAGATATTTAGAAAAACATTGAAAAATAGTTTCAAACATTTAAATTTATCATAAAAAATATATAAAAAAATTTTAATATGACATTTAATTTACACATAATACATTATGACATTTAATTTACTTTTTAATACATTTATTTTAAACAATTATTGTAATTATTTTTTGATTGTGAAGTAAAAACTTTTAAAAAGACCAATAATTCAAAGTTATTCGTAATGTAACAATTTTTTTAGGCTGTGGTTATTGTTTCGACACCGAATCCCAAAGTAAAATGGCTATTCTTCCGACATATATGTGCAGTATTCATATGCATGTTTGCTAATTAAAAAATTTAGCAAAAATAATAAAATAAGATTTTTTTTGCTTTTTTTAAGCAAAGTCATTATTTGTACACGCGTACAAATTTGTCTATCTAAAAAACATACAATATTAAATTGAAACTGTTTTATTAAAAAACAAAAGTCTGCAATGAATAATACTCTATACTTAATTAGAAACTTCACTAGACTAATCTTAAATAAACTTAAAAACATAAAAGATTTTGATACCATAACTCAGTTTTGTTAAACTGTATAAATTATATTTTGAAAGTTTGATCAGACAATGTCCGACCCAAACAAGTTTGGATTGGACGTTTTGTCTGGGACTTAATAAAAAATTAAATTGAGCCCTGTATATTAAGCCACTGTCTAAACATACTTTTTTTTTCAAAGCATGTTGGCTCACTTTGGGATTTATGTAAGCCATAAATATAAATATAATTCCGAAAAAATTATACAATTTGGAGTTATAATCATTTTGGGAAATCATTTTAAAGTTTTCAATTATTTGTGTTTTTTTTTTTTTTTTCAATCATTTAAATTAATTAAATATATAGCAAAATTATAAATATCTGTGACGGAAACTTTTTGCAAGTCTTGCCTCATTTTCAAGATGTTTTATGAAAGCTCATTGGCTTATGTCACATAGAAACGAAGGTTTGTAAAAAGTTTACATTGCAGATGTTTATGAAAAGTTCGATTAAATATTAGTTCGAAACTAGAAAATCGGATTTTCTAGTTTTTAACTCGATTGTTAACAAAAAGTTCTTCAAAATTGTTGGATAACTCGATTGTTAACAAAAAGTTCTTCAAAATTGTTGGTGTTTAAAAATAGCTTGGGCCAGGGTCTTTTTAGCATACTGGAACTTCAACGATTTTATAGACCTCACAATCAAAGTTACACCAAGTTTGATGTTGTATATATGTCAATCATCAGAGTCATAGAAAAAATTTTCAATATCAATAATATTGATATATTATATATTATAGTTTTGTATTGTATTCAATATATATTATATTTGCATTATACAACATTGTAAAATTACTCTGAGAAAAGTATACAATATTCTGACTTTTTCACATTTCTCTTGTTTTCTGCTCTGCTTTGGTTTTTAGCCAGAATGAAGTTATGTCTCTTCACCCGTCCATAAACCTTTTTAGAAGCTTCAGATGTGAGTTTTACAGCTCTTTCCACGGACTGAGAATTGTTTGGCAAGTCAGTTAGAGAAAGTTTATTGCCCGTTTAAATAGCTTGTTTTAATTCATTTAAAGAAACAAAAATTGAAGTGGGAGGTTCAATTTGTATTAAAGAAACTTCAATTAAGTCAGTCCAAACATCAGCATTGAAGTTCAAGGTCATAATTGTCTTAGCTTTGATTTTAAGTTTAAAATCTGGATTTCTTTTCCTAGACAACCTAATCTCCAAGATTTGATTGAGAACACGATCTCTTACAACTTTTTCATTGTCTAGCATCATAGCGTAAAGAAAATTTTCTTGACAGCAGCAATAGGAGTTACCCTGAAGATTTTTCAATACAATCTTTTCAATTCTGTCATCCTGTTTTTTGACTAACTGTATTGTTTTATGGAGGAGCTTTGGTGCATCTTTGTAATGCGCTGAACTTTTTACAGCAAACCACATTGGATAGTAGACTTGAACTATGTACTTTGTGATGCATTTTCTAATTTGACAACTAAACCATTATCTACGCCAGTGTTAGAACTTGTATTGTAAAGAACAATCGCTTCTAAGCTTTTAACACTATCATATTCAGAAAGCACATTTAATATTGCTAAAGCCATAGCACTACCTTAACTATTTTTTATTATCACATGTGTTAAATAATTTCCAGAGAAAGGATCGTTTTCTCAAGTAAAAGTGATGTTCATCATTGGTGGTTCGATGAAAGAAAGGGTCCCCATTACTCTTGTATTTCATCACATGAACTAATTTTGTCTTTTTTGCTATCAACACCAATTACCTTTATTTCTAAAACCTCTTGACGATGCTTAGTGTCAGTTGATTTAGCCACTCGTGCTTTTTCACAAAATGTATTCTGTAATTATCTGAGATTTTTTTACTCTTACTTACTATTCCGTAGTCAATTAATACAGCTGTTGCTATTGCAGCTGCTGCAGCATTGCTTACTTTGTATCTTATTGCAGCCTTGGCTAAATTAGTTAATTCTGTGTAATTTTTTTCACTAAATAATTGCTTCTCAAACTCTTCACTTTCAGTTGTATCTAAACTTGAAGGTTCAGCACTAAAATTACTAATCAAATCGACTTCCCATGTTTTTTGAAGATTTTTTTTGTCTAATTAGCTTTCTTGTGGCCTCATTTTCTTCTCTAATATACTTTTTGGCGTTTCTTGTTGCCTTCGCTTGGTCCACATTGCCTAACTGCCAACTTCCTTTTGGTCCTATCTTGCATCGTTGGTCCTCTCGTTCCAGAACAGGGACCTAAAATAAGTCAAATTTTCTAAATTTGAAAGTATTTAAATTTAAAGTGAATAGAATGAATTAATGGTCAAATGATTAGTGATCAATAATCATTTTAACATAACTTCATGAAGGAGCAGCACTTTTTAAAATGACTTAAGGCTATTTTATTTTCCCTAACCTTACATATTTATTAATTTTAACTGTAAATGCCTATTAATATTAATATAAAAATGGCATGAATTACCTTTCTACTTTCCTCACAGAAACAAACTATGTGTTTTATTGTGCAATTACTTTTCCAACATCCAGTTCATCTAAACGTATATTATTTTACTATAAAATTAAAACAATATAGAAACCATTTATTGCATAGGCTTACATCCGTTAGTTTACGGTTGTAGGCCTTACTTTAATACCTTAGTAGAAGGCAGAAGGATGGGGTAGTAAATTTTCATCTATCTTTACAAAATATTTTTCACATAACATTAAAAAAAAGTTGTAATAAAAAACTTTAAAAGATATTTGTTTACCTATCATTACAATGGAAGATCGTACCGGCAAGCAGACACATCAAACAACGTTTCCAGTTGATTTTCTAGCCAACTTATACCAGACTTATAGTTTTTAGATTGAATTCCTTCTGCAGACAACACTTTTAGAAATCTTCTCGATATTTTATTTTTCAATGGTTTATCTTTTATCAGAGGTAGATTTGAATTGGCCCTACACCAAAGCTGTTGCAAGTCACTATTGACTTTTGTCACGATTGATACAGAGTCAATTTTCTGTCCATTAAATAATTCTTTCTCAATTCTGTAACC